TAGAGGATTTTGGAGGATAACAAGCGAAATAAACGCGAAAATAGAGGTAATAAAACAGTAAGAATCTTTGCTTTAAACTCGCCGAATAGGCCATAGTCTGGCACACATTCTGTTGAAAGGCAGTGAAATCCGTCCCGCGGAGCTTTTTGCCTTCAAAGCCTTGCTTATTTTGATGACTTATATCATTGAATTCATGTTTGCTTGCTTTTGACTCGATATTTAAGCGAGAAACTGAAAAATAAAGCGTCCTTTGAAGGTAAATATCGGGCCACAAAGTGACGCTAAAGTATCTAGTTTTGCTATGCTAATTAGCTCTGACCTCATTTGCATAATCCGATAGGGTCACAAAATAAATTTGTTGAAAATTGTTAGTCGCTCTATATTTTCGACCGATATTTGGGCTGTTTTACTTAGATATTAAAGAAAAAATTAGTTGTACTGTATTACATAAAATATACAACTTTTCTGGCCAAATTACTCTTTAATTTTTTTTTTAAATAATTATCTAGAAATATGCCTTGTTTATTTTTTTGTGCAGAATATTATGGGCTCCCTGAGACCGAAATATTTTTTTTTCTGAAAGTTTGATTTTTGCCCTTTCCAATGAGGTATAGCTTGATATGGAACTGTAAATAACAGCAGAGATATAATTTTTTAAAGTTGCATGGTCAAAAACACTTAAAATACGTTCCGAAGAATGTTGACTTCCAGCCTGTCTTTAATCATCACTTAAAAGAAGTGTGTAACTTATGTTTGTTTATACTGTACAAAGGATGACACTGAATGTTCACAGGCTATTGTAAGTGCAGCAAAAGAAGTTAAAGCTTCAAATTTAACCATTAGGGAAAGCTTGAGAAAAATAGGAGCAGCTTTTCTTTCTACTAGAGAAGTGAGTGCACAAGAATGTGTATAGATGTATGTCTGACCTTTGGTTAAGAAACGTTTTTCCAAAAACAGTTTTTGTGACTTTCGTTGCCACTTTAACGATTAGGTGCAGTTACACACACCATGGTACAAGGCATTTCCAACGATAACGAAGCCGTGGTAAATTTTAACGTGGATTTACTTTAATAATTTAACTAAGGTACATACAGCTTTTTAACGCTTCACCTTGGATTCCATTTTGCAGTTCAGCTGCATCTCACCGTTTGATTACATGCAAGGAACATTTTTGGGAAATATCGTTACTAAATCTAGCCTAACAAACCAGTTAAAAATTTTCCCTCATCGTAACGTGAAATCTGCCATACCAACATCGATCTTTCTCAACAATGCGAAAGAATCTCAATCAAAAACAACAACAACAACTAAAACATTTTTTGGCGGTTTCATGTTGAAGTCAAATTGAAACCCTTATTGGCTTTTCGCCCTTGGGCAGGGATATTTCCCAGTTGGTAAATTTATCTCGTGAAAGTCCGGTCACACGCACCACGTCAATTTACCGCGGTCAAAAGGGTCATTTAACACGGTAAAAGTGTCTCCTGTAACCGCACCTATTATCGAAAGTCTTCACGCTCACTTTATTCTGACCATGTCTTCTTGCTCTTTATATCCTTTTACACTTATAATACTGAACATCTCCCTCTCTCCTGCACACATTTGTTGCTGATACAGTACTCACCTTTCCAACACCATTCAACATAATTCTTACTTACACCAACACATCCCGCGTAAACGCAATCAGGCGTCTTCGTGTTATGGACAAAAATTGAAGGAAATAGATTTTTCAACTCCTGCCACTCGATGGTCGATATTTCCTAACCGTCGCTCTTACGCTGTAGACAATAGCTGTAAGTATTTGGCTTCCTCATTAAAATCAAACAGTAACGCAAATTAAAAGGATTAAAACTATATTTATCAACAACTTACTTGATCTAGACTGTCCGTCGACTCATTTATTTCTTCCGGCTCCACGGCTTTCGTTCTTGTACAAAAGTTGTGTATACATTCAGTAGGAAAACAAAAAATATTCCAAGGTACTGGAATGTGATAATAGTTTCGAAACGTCTGAATTGCAATTGCTCTTTTGAAAACCCATTCGTTTCGTGAATTATCCTATAGAGAAAATGGCAGTGTAAACAAACATTGACAAAAGTAAAACCCCCAATAAACCTTATCCTAAACATTATTGTACAACGAAGTTTAATCTACGGTCGAGTGGTCCCAGCACCCAGGGGATGGAAAAGCTACTCAACAAAGTTTTATGCGGAGAGGCTCCTACCCGAGGTCCAAACCCCTTTATCCTTTCGTAGGGCGTATTAGAGAAGGGGGGCTTGTCTGGAATTAACAGAGGATTAATTTTACGGTATCGATCCATATCAGTCAAATCCCAAATGGTATGCACGAAAAAGAAGATGGTTTTTCAGCAAAATCTCTTAGTCAAAATGATTTGCCCGGCCATGGTCCGACCGGCCAGTTTTGACTTTTGGAAAGCGGGTTAGTTTAGTTGTTTGCATCCCTTTTAACCGCTGTAAATGTGAATAAATCACTAAAAGTAGAAAATTTTCTCGACTTTTCCGCAGCCATTGAAAATATCTATCTTCAGTAAAATTCAACTGTCTAGTGGTCTATTATCAATGCTGCATTCTGATTGGTTGAGCTACTACTAGGCTATATGTTATAGCCCACTAGTAGCGAAAAGCGCCAGCTTTAAAAACCAAAACAATGGCGGCTGAATCGCGTTTTGCTAGCTAAAGTTGTTTTGTCTCGATATTTTTGACCAACTAGTTGGATTTAACTAAAGCAATTATTCCTCTCGCCCTCGTGTCCTCTGAGTCAATTGACTCAGAGCCCATTCGGGTTCGAGGAATAATTGTTGGTCATTTTACAGACCAAAATGACAGCTTTTTTCTACCCGTGACTTCAACTAGTGAAATCCCTACCCTTTCATACACCCGGCCAGTGTAAACCATTACAGGGAGTACCTCCAGGTCCCAGCATTGGTGTTTCCGCATTATCTCAACATTACGGAGAGTTAGGTGTCTCGGTTGATCATACAAGTGCATTGAACTATGACGAACGTTATCAGTTTTAACCTAATGGCAACGAAATTTTGTGAAGAAGTACAGCTATCATAATATAAGATAATCGGATTTTACTTAATAGAATCTTTTTACGACCGTTAAATAATACGTTTTCGAAAAACGTGTTTCAAATAGTTTGAAACCAGAGGAGGAGTGAATGTCTTACTACAGTGCATTGCGATTGTGCTCCTTACTAGATGGCGGAGTTTTCCTACGCACGTCGTGTTTTTACGGTGTTTTTGTGTGACTTTTTTTACCGGGTTAGAATCCTAACTAGAGGTAAGTAAGACTATTCATATAATCTTTGTCTTTTTCTCTTTTCATAAAAGGAAGCTTTACTGGAGTATTTCTTCTGAAACGTATATTTTTTCGTATTCGAATTGTGATATCCTGATCTGTCACCGTTCACTGCCTAGGAATAGTTCCGAAAACATGTCTGTAGTTTCTTTTCTAGTGGAGCATTGTTTAATTAAGTCCGATATTTAAGTAATTCAGAGGCTTATCTTATTATTTTTACTAAAGGGACCCAGAAATTTGAACATTTTGAAGACCGTGATAAGTGATAGGTCCTACAGAATGCTGCGAAACATGGAATCACTCAGGAAATGCGGAGACTCTGAAAGACGGATATTTTGGTTAATGATTCCGATTATTAAGCAAAATGGCTAAATCTGAACACTGTTAATTACTTCAAACATTCCCAATATATTGTTATTCAGTTTTGACTCCACTTATTAAAACTAGTGTGGACGTTGATGAGAAGATAGACTTAATTAAGCTTATAAATCATGAAAACATCTCACATTCTCATGCTTTACTAGCGTTCGAACGGCAGACGTTTCTCCTCGCTCATCGCCGCTGAGGGACGTTTCGCGAGGAGGAACGTCTGCGACTCAGCGACAGAAATTCCATACTGATGACGTAAACCAATATTTAAATCCGGTAGTCATGGGGTTTCAAATGCAAATTTGTTCAATTTTACGTTTCTCCTGGTCGATTTTGGGAAAGTGTTGTGTTCATCGGCGAATGAGCTCTAGCAAAACTCGAATGCTTCTTAAGTCTAGAGAAGACTATATTCCAGAAATAATGGCTGCTTTGTTAGAGATCCATCGCGTTTACATTTGACCTTTGCGATCTTTTGTCTTTTGTCTGTCATTCGTAAACAATAGCTAAAACAATGAAACTACTCCGTCGACCAATTATTGCTTCTTGCCTGATTCCGGACAGATTTTGCATCGTCAGTATGGAATTTCTGTCGCAGAGTCTTGGGTAGATTTACCCAAGTTGTGGCACAACGGCCGCCGAGCTACACAACTCAGTAGATTTACTTTGTGGCACAACGGCCGCCGAAACTTTTGAAAGATGAACGTTTTGAAAGATTCAGCAAACACAGGTCGATAGTAGACCTTCAGCAAACTCTTGAAATATGTACGCTTTACGAAGATTCAGCAAACTTTTAAAAGATGAACGCTTTACGAAGACAGAATAAAAGACCTCAGCAAACGCTTAAGGATGCACGAATCACCACGTGAGTTAGTTCGTCAAAGTGAGGGAAAACGTAAGCAAGCGCCTCAAAGCGAGGCAAATGTGTGTCGAAAACGACAAGTGCAATCTCGAAAAAACCTCCCTTATTAGTTGCACAGGGGACCCAATAATGCACACAACACCAAACACAAATTAGGGGTTGCGTTCTCGTACCTCGAACGTAAAAAAGTAAACAGTAAATTACGAAGCCTATTAATCAATGACAACAATGTTTACATGAATGGAACTTGCGCCAAATTACGCGACCAACAACAAAGGAAGCACTGCCACAGACCTTAATAAGGAACATCGTTTTCTCTAAGGATCTGTAGATTAAAGGGATATTAGAAACGTGAGCTACCTTTTATTTCAATGGCTTGACAAAGCAACCAAGGCTAGGTTCAGATGCCGAACTTTTCATGAGCCGAACCTAGTACATTAAGTTAAGTACATGAAACGTTCGGCGTCTGAATCAATTAGGCAAGCCTGTTTTAATTTGGAACGGCTCAGCCGTTCTTTTCGCTTGGCACGGCTGGGAATTTCGCCTTTGGAGCGACTTTGGAACGGCTTTGATTCAAACGCCGAACTTCTCATGTACCGAACCTAATGTATAAATTATTATCACGTATTTTGTTAGTAGTTTGACCGAAATGAGCATTTTTCTCCTTTTGAATTTAGTTCGGCTGGAATTAAGATCGGCGTCTGAATCAGTTCAGCCGGTCTAAATAATTTGGGTCGGCCTTAATTCGAATTAAGCTCGGGTCTTGAAAAGTTGGGCGTCTGAACCGGGCCTAAGGTACTTGCATGTAATTCGCAACTCGCGCAAGCCTAGATGGATCGAGAATCTAGTTGAGTGACAGTACAAAACGAACGACAAAAATCTCCAAGGAAAGGAGTGACCTATAATTCAATAAAAATTGGTACATTCGACTTACCTTTATTTAACAGCCAGTGATTTCAGAAACCAAATGAGGACTGCTGAGACTACATTCGAGGAAATCAACTACAGAGTTTAATTTTTTGCTCATTCGGGACGTTTCGAGTGGTATTACGAAACCTTTCTTTTTTCATATCTTTCACAAAAATTACACAAACATTACGAAAGACAAGTTCAATTCATCCCTGACCAAAAGGGCGACTAGAGTAATCGTCTTTTGAAACGGAGAGGATCTGTGATAGCTGCCAATTTCAACACATTTCGCCATGTTGTTGTGACTTGTTCAAGCGTCTGAACCGAATGATGACGTCATGAAAATCTTTATATATTACTTCGAATCGCAATGCATTGTGGGAAGACATTCACTCCTCCTCTTGTTTTAAGTTCTCCTATTAACTTGCCAGTTTCAAAAATTTATTTCTTAAATATTTAAGCATTTTACAAAATAAAAACTACACAAGTCTATTATGCGAGATCTGAACATTCAGATAATTGACATTCGACGTGCCAATTTTCACAATCAAGGTGTGATTTCCAGTTCATATCGCAGGCTCAGATAATAACGAGTTTCGCATTGCTGACTTTCCCTCGATAGCTAGTATTGAAAAAAAAAATAGTGGAACTGACTCATACTGTGACTTTTTTCTTGAGATATGGCAATTGGAATTATTAACACTCTGTAACTTGGGGCGACAGCCAAAACTTCCAAAATGCTCCCTTATTTCCAGAAATTTTTGTTGCTTTTCCTTAGCATTATGCAAATTAACCTGGCAAGTTTTAGTGAGGGGTTTAAATAAATCCTTATAATTTCGAATCGATGTGTCTCCAGTGCCGTCTATCACAGGCTACGCTGTTTTCTTCGTGGCTGGGGTGAGGTTGCTTGAGTTAATTTTTGCTGAGTATGTGCCGCTGGCCTCTCAGAGTCGCTATACCCATTTTAGTATCGTCTCTGTCAAATTATAGACCCCTGCTTAATCACTTTTGGGCAAGTATGTAATTTTCGCGAAACCAGCTTAACCACTTTCTAATTAAATATGTATCTACCTTATTAATCCTTTAAATGATCATCCTATAGTAAATTGACCCATTTTTTTTTAATTGAATGAAGAACACTTTACTTTTCACCTTCAATACAAACGCTGTAGTACGTTTGTTTACAGTAAATATGAAGAACTGTCTTACCCAAAAGATCAGAAAATGTGCATTCTAGCAAAGCTATTGAAAATGCGACCCCATTATAACATAACATAATATAACATAAACGTTATTTTCATTCGAGTTTTAGAGAAGCTAGTATCTTCGAGCTGACACACACTTAAAAATATATTAAATACATTATGAATAATAATAAATAAAACTAAAAACAAACACATAAAAGAAATTATTATTCATTCAAAATATTTCCCAGATTCTGATTTTGATTGGCTAAAATTGCACGCATAATTCCCCATAACCAGCTACTGATGACCAAATTTGGAAGAATTTTGCGTTTAATGAAACGATGACGTTAAAAGTGCAGCTTTCGTGCAGGTTAATGGACCGTTAACCGAGAAGACCTGGGGACGAGGTGGAGTTGTTTTGGTTGTGAAGACAAAAAAGCGGACATTTCATTCGTTTCAAGAGTAACAACTAGGCGAAATAATAGCTAAAAACATGGCAAGAACAGCGAGAAGACAACTCAAAGGGCGACATCTGCTATTTGGAGAATATTTGCGGAGCTGAACAACGCTAATCGTGCACTATCGAAGATGAACTTAACATCGGTGGGTCGATGGAGGTAAGCATGTTTTAGCCATGCTTTTAAACTAGTAATTATTTTGAATGAATGATAAAGCAATTATTGAATTCAGCTTTCGTATCATATGAAGAATTATGGAGATCTCGGAGGGTGTTATCCACCTCGGCCTACGGCCTCGACGGATAACACCCTCCTCGATCTCCATAATTCTTCATAACGTACTCAGCCTCATTCACTAATTGTTAAATATAATTTACAAGTTTAAGTATAAGTATATACAAGCTAAAGAAACTACATAAAAGTAAGATCCTTTATTTCAGTCTTAAAATCTGCAAAGAACAAAACAACAACAACAACAAAACTAGACAGTGCAAAAAAAGGCAGGCAGTGCATTTCACTGCTTAGCTGAAAAGTAACATAACATAACATAACATAACATAACATAACATAACATAACATAACATAAACTTTATTTTCATTCGAGTTTGTTTGGTAAGAAAAGAAGTTCAGACCAGAATAAGTTGTTTTCGGTTTACTAAGTGATGGAATGTAGTTGCCACAAAGATCATGGGAAGAGGACCGGATTGAAAACATATTCTTCATATAAGCAGGAAAATTAGTAAAAACCAAACTCTTATATAACATTATGAGTCAATCCAGTCGTGAAAATGCGACCCCACCCTGCGGCACATCCCCATTAGCCCCTTATAAGGAAGTACCCCCCCCCCCGGGCCCCTCTTGTTAATGTTTGTTGTGACACTGACCTGTATGTAGCCCGGCGGGAAAATGCGTAAATTTTTTTTTGAACTGGTTTCGTGACGTGTCCCTGCGGCACATCCCCATTAGCCTCTTATAAGGAAGTACCCCCCCCCCCGGGCCGCTGTTGTTAATGTTTGTTGTGACACTGACCTGTTTGTAGCACGGCGAGAAAATGCGAAAATCTTTGTTTGAACTCGTTTCGTGACGTGCTCTCAATATGACGTTGTAATTACGAAACAATGTTTTTGCCTCAGCAACGCGGTAATTTGCACAATACGTCATTTAAATGTGGCCTTATCTGTAATCGACCTTTGAAGAATCATATATCAAATGTGCCTCTTGAAGGCTTTTTTCAGGCATAGAAATGATTAAAGATAAGATCAAGACAATCGTACTTTATTTGGGAAGCAGAATGTACTACCGAAACAGTTATACCACGAACTCAGAGATTCGTGTGGCAGTTGATTTTGGCGCTAGACCGAAACGCTTCGGGTCAAGTTGCTTTGTTTGTCAAACCAAAAAGCTGAACTCAAGTAGACACATTCCTGTGCGTTTGGTAGGCCAAAGATTGGCCAAGTCGAGTGAAGGTGTTCAAGTCAACCAAAATGGAGAAATTTATTTCGTCTACTGAAGTCAATGGCTGTGTGTACTTTCGGTTACAGCCTTCTAGCCCTAAACTCTGACCACTCTGATGCGTTAACAACGACGCCAGCATGCAATGAGAAAACAAGGTGACCCCGTGGGTTCACGAAATAACCAAATAAATTTACGACGAAAATATTGACTCGACCATCGCATACAGCTGTTTGCAGGGACAATCTGTCGTCTTGAAAACTTGCTGGTAGCCTGAAATTCATCCGATTGCTTCGAGTCGTTTTCTCCTCTCAACAACGTCTGAATCGACCGGCCGTTAATGCCGTCCAGTGACGTCACTCACTACCCGAAAACCAGGTAGTGATTTTGATTGGTTGATTGTCTAAACATTCGCATAATTATGTATAATTTTGAGAAATTTTAGCGGGATTGTCGCTTGATATTCAGCGGATCGCATCAGTGGCACCCTTTCGTTTAGTTCAAACATTTCGATAAGGTTAATCTTTACCTTAAACACCAAAATTTCCCTTGTCTTCGAAACTGAAATGCTAAATTGAACTGCGAATGAAGAATCATTGCGGAGAGTTGGTAGGTTTTTCATTTAGAGCCGCTTTATGGTTTCGGCGGCCGGTGATTTTGTTTACGCGAAGTTTTCTGAGATCAATGTTATAATCCGACCTTCTTGCTATATTTACCATCAAGTGTAATGATTCTGTTACCTTTTCTTTCTTGTCTCCTTGTTTTTTTTTCTTCGTTAAGGACCAAATAACTTCTATTCAATTAAAGCAAATCATTGTGTTTTTGAACTAAGTGTTCCGTGTGTGTGTTTATTTCATTGCGTGATTGCGACCGAGTTTGATTATAGAAGTTAGTACAACCGGTTCAGAGTTGTACTGCATGCAGTTGATAGTTTGAACGTTAAACATGAATTACGATCGAAAAAAATAAAGCAGTTCTGTATCATACGGACATTTCCAAACGATATTTCTCGGTTTGCCACTTGAAAATCGTGTTTTACTTTTTGCATGAATTAAAGCAAAGGTCAAGGAGCAGTGACGTCACTGGACGGCATTAACGGCCGGTCGATTCAGACGTTACTGAGTGAGTAATAACGACTCGAAGTAATCGGATGAAATTCAGGCTAACTTGCTGGCCACATTATTTGAAGTGTGATTGGTTCGACTCTCACGGTTAGTTCGGCCCAGTTCGGTGTCTGATCCAACAGACGAACTTAACTTAACTTAGGTCAACCCAATTAAATTATCACCTGGTTCGTACCCTCTCCTAAAAAATTCGACTTTTGGAAATATACTGAAAACCGCTCTTGAAAAATTTCAAAACTCTCCGAGCGTGTGTTTTATCAAGTCTCAAATTCTCTCGCGTTACGCTAGAATTGTAAACCTTGATTGAAAACAAAACAACAACAACAACAAAAACAAACCGCTGTTCATGCTTAAAACGTCTCTGATAACATTAAAAAGTTATGTAGTCACAGTTACCTGCACTCTCTGGTAGGTGTTGGAAAGCAACGCGATCAGCATATTAATGAGGAGGATAAGAGCAAAAACAAGATAGGCAGCAAACAAAAGCCGAGCGAGAGTTTCTGAATATGAGTCAGAAGATTCAAGAGTACTCAAGCCTTCTGATAAATCAAGTAACGACCATCCAAGGTGGGTAGTTATCTTCCACCAGCTGGAAATAACAAAAGAACTATTAATTTATTTGATTATTCTTAGTGTTTAAGACGCGTAGCAGCTATAGCTATTATGTAAAGGTTGCTTTGGGAATTGGGAAGTGTCGAGAAACACGGGTGCAAGTAAAATGACATGTAATGGCGTCACTTCGCTGCTCTGACAACTCGTCATTGTAACCATTAAAATTACATATTTTTAGATCTTTATCTAATACAGCTTTGATGGTCCCTTTTTAAAAATTTTGGTTAATATAAATTATGGCGACGTATAGTTTGTGCTTAAACTTGGGAGGTGCTGACCCTGAAAAACTCTATCGAGTCACCTTAAAATGAATAGGAGTAGCACGCAAAATCAAAGTAAAACAATATCAACGCTAGTCTAAGATATGACAATGAGAGTTGTAATAGCAAGTTACGCAATTGGAGATTATAGCACGACAAAATTCCAAGGACATGAACGGGATTCACTCTTAAAGCCGATGTTGTAAATATGGGAATGTGGCCTGCTGTGAAATCTCTATCAGTGACTGCAGAACCGTGCAACTCGAATTTTACTTTGAAGCATTCAAAGTAACACTTCGAATGACACTAACATTTAGTGCACTAAAACTGTTTGAGTCTAAAGATGACTACCGCAAAGGTTGTCGAAACGTCTCTCACTGTACATCAGTCCTATCAAGACTGGACTTAATTAACTGATAAACTTATTAATGAGACACATCTTGTAGCTGGCTACACCTAGCCTACGAATCGAGGACATCTAATTGCTGAAATCTCAAATAGTGTGTTTTCACATGACGTCATGGCGGCCATATTTGTGTCCCAAAGCAAGGAAACGGCGGCCATGTTTGTGTCCCAAACCAGTCTTGAACTCTTTTCTTATGTAAACGCTTTCTTTTTTTCCAATAAATTTGCATAGATGCTGGCCACGTGAGTGAAAACACTATAGTATAACGTTACATTCGGACTATAATACACCCGAAGAACCAAAAAAAGAAAAAAGTCCAAAGACTACTGCAAAGCTGATTTAAGACAACGTGTATTGTTTTTTATAACAATATTTCGGCTGGCCATACCAGCCTTCTTCAGGTTTACAGATGTTACTTAACTTATGTAGCAATCAAAAGGGAGAGGCGGAAATGACGTACAACACAAAAACTTTAAAGGAAAAATACTAAAGAGATGGATTACAATAATTCGTCACGGCCATGAGGTTCAAGGGTCATGGCCTTATCTATCAAATGCGACTCCCTGGCCTTACGAACTGAGTCACTTGAAGAATGAATTTTCTCTAGTGGGATTAACTGCATGATGCATGCACCCGGACTATCATATTCCACCGACACGTAGTTTCAATACTTACCACTGTATTCCGGATTTGTTGCACACACTGCAATGGAACAAATAATGTAAATTGTTTTTATAAATATTTTAAGAAAAGCACGACGCGATTTAAAAAAATGTGAAAAAATAATTGACAAGCTCAATTGGTTAAAGAGTTACGCCCCGTGCAAACGGACGCAACATTGTTGACGAACAACTCCCAACATTGTTGGATGTTACATGTTGCGTCCGTTAGCACACCCTGTTGCATGTTCTTGGATGTTGTTGCGCAAAGTTTGAAACCGGTCAAACTTTTCAGTCAACAAACTCCCAACATTTCTTTTGTTCCGTGATCGCCGAAACGTAGCGCACCAATGTTGGATCCGTTGGCACAGCTCTTCCAACATTGTAGGGGCCACGCACGCTCATTACGAATGGATTACAAAGACGCAACAACTCCCAACATTGTTGGCGCAACAATGTTGGGAGTTGTTGCGCCCGTTTGCAGGCAGCCTTATTAAACTTTGATTTTTAAATTTTCCGTCATTTTCTTACTATTTTTAGAAACATAAGTATAATAGTCAGGGAGCAAGTGTCGAAAAATTAAGTCCCGTGGGAAGTTAGTGCTTAAAGCAAGCTATTGGTCTAGATATGTTGAGGGGACCTTAGGCTGCGTGCAAACGGGCGCAACAACTCCCAACATTGTTGCGCCAACAATGTTGGGAGTTGTTGTGTGCGTGTTGGCAATGGTGTGCAAACGGATGCAACAACTCCCAACAAGTTTGGGACCTGCAGGGCATCGTGGGAAGAATACAACCCATAAGTCTTTGTAATCCATGCGTAATGAGCGTGCATGGCCCCAACAAAGTTAGAAGAGCTGTGCAAACGGATCCAACATTGTTGCGCTACGCTTCGGCGATCACGGAACAAAAGAAATGTTGGGAGTTGTTGGCTGAAAAGTTTGACCGGTTTCAAACTTAGCGCAACAACACGCAACAACATCTAGCAACATGCAACAGGGTGTGCAAACGGACGCAACATGTAACATCCAACAATATTGGGGGTTGTTGGCCAACAATGTTGCGTCTGTTTAAACGGGGCTTTAGTGAACATGAAAAATGTTGTCGGCAACTTTGTGATCCGCACCGGCACGCATCTTAAATCGTCTTTATTCCCTCTTATAAATCAATATTTCATCACCAAATTGTAAGAATAGCGTTACTCTAGCATTACACACACTTTTAGCTGGAAACTGTGATCACGTGACCTAAAGCATGAAAACGAGGCTAAATCCTAAATGTGCTCTTTTTTCGTATCTTGTTTTAAAACATCACTACAAAAGTAAGTTATAATGAAGGAGAAACATTTCATAGACTTTCTCACGTCAAAAACTAAAACCTTCTACCACTTTATCACGTGATTAAAGGCATAAAGACGAGGCTATATCTCCTATCATCAATGATTTAAAAAATAACCTTTTTTCATAAACTCAGTTTTTCTTGTGTTGTGTTCTAAAACAATATAATAAAATAAAGTCAATGAAATAATAACTATTTTATAAGCTTATTGGCTCTTAAGCTAAGAATTTGATGAAATAATGACCACAACCTTAAAAGACGAGGCTCTTGTGGTCAGCGGTTTTTTAGCAGCAAAATACAGGTCCGCCATGTTAACTTGCATTTGAAATGGAGAAGATGGATGGTCTTTTTGATTAAGTTTTTTTGATAGATATCGACCCTGATCCTGACCCCGACAAAAAACAAAAAGCAGATGTAAGGTTATGTATTATATGTCAGGAACAAATAATGAAGATCTAGTTAAAAAGCCAAGTTCACATGAAAAGACATTGGAGTCGATAAAGGAGTGGGCCACGTATGGTGTGTGAAAGTATGTAAGAAGTCGTGACAAGCTATCCTTCTACTCTCTGAAGGATCTAAAGGAAAGATTATCATTGTACAGAAGTTGCTATAAGAATACAATACATTTTGGGATTCTAAAAAGAGCGAAAGAGCGTTATGAAAGTTATTTAGAAGGCCCAAATGAGATGAGAAGAAAATAATCTGAAACAGTGGAAGACAGCCAACAAATTACACGCTCAAAAACAATCCCATGTGATAAAAATGTTTGCTTCTTTTGTGAGGGTGATGCTGGGTATAGACAGTCTCTATAGAGTATTGACATCTTCAGCTGGTGAATCTCTTCGTGCTGGAATTGAAATGTCTTCAAATGATAAACTTCGAATAAAGTTAAGCTCTGCAATCGACCCCAGTGATGCCCACGCTATTGATATTAAATATAATATATAGATTTAGCCAGGGCTAAAAGCGAAGCTCCCGTTAAGAAATTCATAATTTAAATCAAACAATAAACTTGTAATCCACAGATCAGGGCACATTCATTTGACTTTTGAGGCAAAGGCTAAGTAATTTTAGAGAAAAATAATTTGACAGTCCAAGAGTGAAACAGCTTTTACATCGAGTTATTAAATAGTCTTATTTGTACACCCAAAAATAACAATCATGTTCGATCACAGTTTATTAGACCTGGAAAACAAATAGACCTACCTATTCGTGTATTGTATTTGCATTAGCTGTTGCATCATAATGTGGCATTCACCAGTCTCTCCAACATTGCTCCGTTTGAGAGACTATGGATAATTGGACAACCTCGAAATATAATATTAAGAAACACACGCGCCACGATAGTCCTTGGTGGCAGCCAATTTACACGTTGCATTCCTCTGTCTTAAACAGAGGCCAAAATAAAAAAATCAGGCCGGATTTTTTGTGTTCGACAAGTTTAGTTTACTAGTAAATCTTGGCGACGAATCTGGTGGCGTGTAAACCAGCCTTTTAAAGATACTTTTTCTCATCACGTCTCAGGTAAACAGTACTATGAGGCCCATTTTTTTATCATACAGACCTCGGACAGAATTTGTTCTTTTTTGCCCTATTTAAACCTATAATTCTGCAAGTTTTTCACAAATTTGTACTCATTCAATATCCACGACAATCAAAGCACGCGCTTCCTTTGCACAACAAATTATAGCATTGAATTATAAAACGTTTTCATGAAGAGAATTCTATAATGCCGGGACGTTTCAGTTAGACAAATCTGGTCCTATGTGATATGCAGAGTAATAATTATGTGCTTTTAATAAAAACGATAAAAAAATTCCCCAAATCACTTTTCGGCCAGCCAGACGGGTTCTCACTTTTGACAGGCACCAAATTTGCAGTGCGATTAATAGACTTACCATTTACGCTTCAACATGATAGATAAATTGTTATGTTTAGGTTTTATTTCCCTTTATTCATTAAACTGTGTATGGTTTTGTTATGTGTAATCTTTAAAAGCGAGTGATATTTACGCGCGGCGTTTTGAGTATTCCTGCATGCGATGTTTATGTTCGACTGGAAACAACCGGTACAGCGATAAAAATTGCGAGAGAGACTACTAACAATCAATAAAATAAATATAATTCGGTGAAACATGTACAGAGACAATAATTTTCATTCACGAAGAGAAGTATTGAGAGTAAAGTGTCTCTGAAAATCATGAGTCAGGTAAGCATAAGCTTATTTATGTTTGAAGCGGGCTTCCCGGTGTTTGCTCTTTTTCAAGATGAACTCGAGGCAGGAAAATTGCTCAGAGCTTTCTGTTTACAGCCAAACTCATAACTAAATAATCTTCGGAACATTTTCTTTGAATTTGCGGTCAAAAAATGTCTAAAGGCTTTTTAAACCTGATACTATTGTAGGTTAGATCATTGCTCGTGTATAAACTTAAGCCGCATAAACCATACGCTCGACTTCAGGAACCGAAAAAAAAAACACACACACACATCAAAGACAATAATTGCTCAGGCTTACCAGTCGAGATGCTGCTTTTGAAGGTCATCAAGTTTTCCAGGATCACTTGAGACTTTTCAACCCTCTTACGCCTCAAGCAAGGGCAAGTGAGTAAGCTCATTTTTGAAAACGATGCCATCCGAAATCGGATTTCCAATGACTTTGACAAGTGGTGCATTTGTCAACAAAAAGCGCAATAAACAAACCAGCCATGAATTACAGAACAATCTTGATAGCAGCTGTATTTCATTTTGTACACCCAGTAGAAAAAGACAGTTTAAAACATCACNAGAAGTATTGAGAGTAAAGTGTCTCAGAAAATCATGAGTCAGGCAAGCATAAGCTTATTTATGTTTTAAGCCGGCTTCCCGGTGTTCGCGCTTTTTCAAGATGAATTCGAGGCAAGAAAATCGCTCAGAGCTTTCTGTTTACAGCCAAAATAATAACTAAATAATCTTCGGAACCTTTTCTTTGAATTTGCGGGTCAAAAAATGTCTAAAGACTTTTTAAACCTGATACTATTGTAGGTTAGATCATTGCTCGTGTTTTAACTTAAGCCGCATAAACCATATACGCTCGACTTCAGGAAACCGAAAAAAAAAAAAACACATCAAAAACAATAATGGCTCAGGCTTACCAGTCGAGATGCTGCTTCTGAAGGTCATCAAGTGTTCCAGAATCGCTTGAGACTTTTCAACGTTCTTACGCCTCAAGCAAGGGCAAGTGAGTAAGCTCATTTTTGAAAACGATGCCATCCGAAATCGGATTTCCAATGACTTTGACAAGTGGTGCATTTGTCAACAAAAAGCGCAATAAACAAACCAGCCATGAATTACAGAACAATCTTGATAGCAGCTGTATTTCATTTTGTACACCCAGTAGAAAAAGACAGTTTAAAACATCACAAGATGACACAAAACTCTGTCAGCTCCAGCTATCAGTAAGCAAGTTTCCAGATGCTGCATAAATTTTTCGCATGAACTCACCTGTCAAATTTTGGCCAATCAGAACATAAAAATTGGACGTAGAGCGTGATCAACGCATGACAGTGAGAAAAGACAAAAGTGATTGCCCTACCTGCATGTAAATGTAAAAGCCGGTTGAATTTTCGCGTCCGAGGTCAGTTCGAAATCAACATTTTAAAAGTGCGGCTCATGAACACGGCTTATTTCATATGCATTTTAAAAAAATTGAACTTGGGCCTGCGATAATTGAAAATTAGCAACTTGTCAGCGGATACCTTCAAAAAAACACTCGAACTCAGTCGGGTCGATACCTGAGCCCGCCATAGGGTCAGGAGATACTGGTCAGCAGAAACACTATTTTGACAGCTGTCAGTTAATCAAAACATGGATGTACAATATCAGGTTGCAGTATCCCAAACTAGCTGGAAAGTGTAAGATTAAACATTGGGGTGGACGGACGGAAGGTACGGTCACGTGATTGCCGAATTTTCTAAGATGGATATGGGGCTTCGAATTGAGCCCATGATCAAATAGAATATCAGTGCAAAACTTTAAACACTACGTGACCTCAGTGGATAGACAAAGGAGCCCGCGATACACTCAGGTGATGATGGTCAGCGTATACTCTAGTTTGACAGCTGTCAATTAACCTTCATTAGAATGGCGAATATTCGAATTAACAGACNGCGATACACTCAGGTGATGATGGTCAGCGTATACTCTAGTTTGACAGCTGTCAATTAACCTTCATTAGAATGGCGAATATTCGAATTAACAGACTACGAGTGTGAGTAAGACATATCCGTCCGGCAAGTAGTGGAAAATACCAGATCGTGTACCTGAGCGAACCTGAGCCCACGTTATTAGTTTTCTGATAGTGGTCTGCACATGTCCCATTTTGACAGCTGTCAATTGACCTTAATTGGGCTTGCCAATATAACTTTAAACGACTGTAAGCCAACTGACAGCCTTGCCCGGCGTAGTTTCGTTTTTATGTTGAATTAGTAAGTGTGACATATTATATCAGCTTATATGTAGGAGCAAAACGACTGGTCTTTCATCTGAGCCCGTGAGATGGTCATGTGATAATTGT